GTGTAGTGAGTAACTAAAACCAAATAGGACTAAGTAGGAGCTGGTACAATAGGCGGGAACCTTGGCAAAGGAACTTAGCTAAAGCCAAGTCGGTGTTGGTCGAATAGACGAGGTAAGCTGGAAAATTAAAAAGGAAAAATTTGTGGCTTACACTTATCAAGATGTGCATCAGCTAACAAAGCGCAAGCAATATTGATAAGGGTGTGATTCTTCCTTTCTACAACACCATTTTGCTGGGGGGTGTAGTGGGCTGTGGCTTGCAGTCATATGCCTACATCACGACAGATGCCCCAAAGCTCATTGTTGAGGTATTCACCACCACTATCAATTCGAACAGCTTTTATCTTTCGATCAAGAATATTTTCAATGTAGGCCTTGTACGTTTGAAAGGCAACAACTGCATCACTCTTACACATCAAGAAGTGGATGCATGTTCAATAGCTATAGTCATCAATGAATGTGATGAAATATCTTGCACCATTGTGGCTTGGCACATCTATGGGGCCGCAAAGATTAAAATGGACCAAGTCCAGAAGTCCAATTGCTTGGTACTTGCTCGGCGAGAAATTCCAGCGATGATGCTTCCCTAAAATACAAGCTTCACAAAATGTAGATATCCAATAACAATATCTTAGGATTTCATCTGTTGAAGAGATTGATAATGAACATGACCAAGTCTCTTATACCAAAACTCTGCACGAGAATCTGCCTCCACAATTTGAAAGGCCTAAACCTGGTCGGTAGTAGTAATCTCATACAAGTCCCTAATGCATGGCCCATGAAGCAACTATGTGTCAAGCATGTGAAAGTCGCTAGAGTCAACCAAAGAGACTCCCTTTGCATCAAAGACTACCACTACATTTTGATCACATATCTTGGAGACAGACATTAAGTTTCATCACAAGATGGAGACATGCATGGCACCACCAAATGCCATGGTTCTCTCATGATCAAGTGAAAACCTAAATTGCCCGATGGATAGTGGTATTGTCACCTAAATGAACACCATGTTTTCCAATACTCGGCTGATAATACTCAAAAAGACTCTTTTTATTGCCCATAAAATTAGTACAACTAGAGTTTAGGAGCCACATACTTGGTGCTACAATTGCCTCTGTGTTGTAGAGCTCTTCAACAGCCTCATTTGCTGTCGCAATTCCATCACCCTTAAGTAGGTTGGCTTTTGCCATCGTAGCTAATTGCTTAACAAGCTTTGGAGCAATGCAATCTCAAGCCCAGTGACCCATCTCCAAGTAGCAAGCGCATTGATTCTTGGCAAGTCTGGGCTTGGCATGCCCAGATACCACAGAATTTTGCCCTTTTTGGGCATTTGTAGCTGTATGTGGTTTTGCCACCTTGGCATCACCAGAATCCTGTGAAACATACATAGCTTGTAGCATTTCCTCTCTCTCACTTCGCATGGCCTCAATGTTGCGAAGACTCTTTACGACATCTGCCCAAGTCATCTCTGGTTGGAGAAGTAGGCTCTCAATTGCATTCTTCTAGCTAGCTAGCAAGGACCTATAAAGCAACAGCCTTTGCTGCTCATCCGTGAGATAGTGCTTCGCCCCAGTAGCCTCAAGTTGTGTAAAAAAGCCTAAAGTTTGGCAGTGTGAGTTTGGATACTGCCATTTTCCTCTAGCCTCAAGGAATCCATTTGTGAATGGATGTTGAAGACATCCATTTCACTCTTGGTGGCATAGGTGTTGCTCAACCACTTCTAGAGCGTGTGAAACACAAATCCCTAAGCCCCAAAGTGGAGCCAAAAGGGTGCCATGTGGTAGTGGCTGAAGCAGAAGCTAAACAAGCGTAACATGTTTGGACTAAAAGCTCTGACTTGAAAAGTCGAGAGCAAGAGTGGAACTCCCAACGAAGGTCTCAAGGAACAAGCTCGAAGTGAGCAATAAGTGAGTCTCTAGAAAAGGGATTCAAGAGGACCAACACATAACACGTGGAAGTGTCGAGATGGACCTAAGATGGAGTCCAAAATGGAATCTGAGATGGACTTGAGATAGACCCGAGATAGAGTCTGAGATGGACCCAAGATGGAGTCCAAGATGGAGTCCGAGATGGACCCGAAATGGACCTGAGATGGAGTCCGAGATGGATCTGAGATGGAGTCCTAGATGGACATGAGATGGAGTCCGAGATGGAGTCCGAGAAGGACCCGAGATGGAGTATGAGGTCAAGACCGAGACGGAGACTAAGACCAAGACCAAGGCTAAGATTGAGATTGAGACCAAGACTAAGACTGAATCCAAGTCTGAGTTTGAGTCCGAGTCCATGTCTGAGTCTGAGTCCGAAGGTGAAAGCCCAAAGTGTTCATCTCCCAGACCTTAGAGGGTTTGGTGAGCTCCAAAAGTATAGTAGAAGGAGGACTCTAGTGGAGCCAGTTTGGCCAGGAAAGGTCAGTGTGACCAAGGAAGGCTATACTCATGTGGTGGGTGATGATAAAACCATTAAGGAGTCCAAGGCTAAAGTGAGTACGGACAAACAAATGGGGTAGCTTGGTGAAGTTTTCAAGAGCCAACTCTAGCTCCCCTAGGAGATTGAATGGTCGATACTCCCAATCTAAATGTAGGTGGCATTACCTACTTAGATACCTAGCATGGCTCATTGGAACCTTGCTCTAGCCATATGGCTAGGGCACCTAAAGGCAAAAAGTGGGGAGAGTACCTACGAGGCTTGCGTAGGACCATGGTGTTTTAAAATATCGTCCCAAAGTCCCAGACTGTGGAAAAGAAAATGAGCAATCCTCTAGTGTAGTGACCAAGGATATGGTCACATGGTGAAGAAATCCTAGAAGACAGTGGGACTTAGTGGTTGTGCCTTTGGGCCTTGACCTAATGGCAGTCTTGGCAAGCATGGCTATGGTTGAAGAGGGACTTGGTAGGGATGGAAGAAGGGATATTGGGGAAGGGTGTTCTTTATGTCTCTGGGCATCCTAAGGGTGCTAAGGTGTGATCAAAGAATGACTATTCGTGGATGGATGGCCCAGGTTTTGAGAGGTGCAGGTAGAGTTGGATCACCAGTGTGGCAAAGGTGAATGGGCATGGCTTTAGCATAACAGGTTGATATATTGGTGGTAGCTTTGAGTGTCAGTCATGGGATCAGACACATGGAGCACTTAGACCAAGTGCAAAGTTTGAGTGGCATGGATGCTATTCTCGGGGCTAACAAGCCCCAAGTCCGGAATAGAACTTATGGAAGTTGTGAGTGAAACTCCTCCAAGTGGTTGGAAGTGTGATTAAGTGACTAAAGTAGAATGGAAAATTTAGTCATTTACAGAGTGTTGCTGTGATGCACTTTCGAATTAATGGTGCAGCAAAGAGAACATTCGAGGACATGCACATCACAATACTCCCTCTAGAGTTGGAATCCTGAAGGTTCCAATCATGCACCTCAACAACACTAGAGCCTAGAGCCGGTGATGACTCTGTCCCATCTACAATCCCCAACAAACCATGAAACAAGAGATAGGATTCAAGATGGATCTTGAATCCCTCAAACCCTTCTCCATCAAGCTTATAGATGGATGGCTTTCCTTCCATAATGCTATCCCAGCTCCAATACTATGAGATAAATTGGGATCAAAGCGCACTGCACTAGCGGATAGAACAGGAAAACTCTAATGTCTACGTGGCAAGGTGTGTCATGTAACAGGCTCGACGTTGTGGAGGGTGTCTTCATCCCGCCTCACACGCATCCTCGTGCCTCCGAGTTCATCTACATCACCCAAGGTCGCTTGTACATTGGATTCATCAACATAGCCAACAGGGTGTTTGCAAGAGTTTATGCAATAGTAAGTTTAAACCATTTAAAGAAGTATTATGAAGAAATATTGTCTATATCTTAGAGTACAAAACTATGGATAAGCTCTTGGATGAAACCCTTAGAGAGATTCTTCATGATAAACTACTTAATTGCACAAATAGAGTGACCAACTAGATGAAGGATAAAGTCTAGAAAAATTTTACAAAGTGACATCAAACTTTGTTTACTCCAAGGGTGAGGTGATAATCTTCCCAAGGGGTCTCATCCACTGGCAGTTCAACATAGGAGAGGGTCCAGTGTCAGCTTTTGCAGTGCTAAACAGCAAGAAGCCCGAGTTTCAGACCATAGCTCCATCCATGTTGGGGAGTGGTGTCATGGAAGAAGTTCTTCAAAAGGCATTTTGGCTGGATGCTTGGACTGTGAACAGGCTTGTCGAAGAGTTTGTTCCCATCGCTGAATTTATCCGAGGCACGGTAAGGTTGTGATTAACTCCCGCTTCTTCGGCGGGCACTCATTGCGGAGATTCATTGTAGAACAATAATACATATTTTATATCAATTCTTCAGATGATATCTAGTCCACTTAAATCCTTTTGATTTGCAAGGCGGCAACCTTTCGATCTACGCAGTGAATGGCGGTAAAGGTACACTCAGTGATCGGCAACAAAATGGCAGCGTTGTTTTGCTTTCCAGCCTTGTTCTTCTCTGCAAGTTTCATGCTCGGATTGCGATCCACTCCATGACTTTTGTGTGGCGGACCTATCTATCAATTCTCCAAAGATGCTATTATCACGTACTATGGCAACGAGTTTGGGCTGAGAGGCACCAGCCTTGAGAAGGTGCTTAGGGGGTCGCAAGGCATGTACGCAATCTCCAAGCCGGACAAGGCCATTTGTGGCAAGATGCAGATGCTTGTGGTGCCGGAGGCAAGAAAGGCGTTGCGTGCAGCAGGTTATCCAATCCCAGCAAAGTACGAAGGGACCAGGTTGCTGAGATTCGAGGAAGAGGTGGGGGTTTTTGAGGGCGACTAGCTCCTCAAAAACCCATATTAAAACAAAGAGAATGCATAAGAGTGAAATCAAATGTGTTTTCTATCTTGCTATGAGTGTAGCGGCTTAGCCTCATTAAAAAATATATATAAAATCCATACTTTTCTTTTTCTTATATTAAACAGAGAATGTATACTAGTGAAATGAAATGTGGAAGCAACTTGATATTAGGGCTTGTTTGAATGAGGGAGAAATGGCGATGGTTGCTTCTCCGTGCGGTGCGGATGCGAGCAGCACCAAGCGCGCCAGGGAGGCTGAGAAACGAAGGCGCAGAAGGATGCGGAAGAAGGAAAACCCTGCTGCGCCTCGTGATTCTGGCGGCGAGAGCAAGGTAGTCCACCCTCTTTTTTGTGCTATTGGAATTGCTTGCTTTGCTCTAGGTGAATGCCGGAAGCGCGGAGATCGAGTACGTTCCAGACAAATCTCCTCTCGACGGCGATGGATTGGTCGAGTTCCAGCGGATTTTTGACAAGTTCTCGGGCCTGGAATCGTCGAAAAAGGTAGAGCGCGCTTTGCTTGAGAGTCATGCTCATGCTTGGCCTGTGTAGAAGCCTAAGGAAGCCGTGAAGACGGAGAAAATGCAAATGAGCTCGTCCGAAGACGAAGATGACAAGCCCGACGTGAGAGTGAAAGAGGTGGTGCTGTCCAACAAGAAGAAAAAGGTGGACAAGAAGTTTTTGTTTGATCACTGCAATTTCCGTGCCTGTCTTCTTTCCTTTCTTCAGATGAAACGAAGAATGACGGTTGCAGATCTTAAGGACTACTGTGGCAAACCGGATGTTGTCGAGGTATTCGATGCTAGGCCTAGAGATGAAAAAATTTCTTCAATAGTGGCTCTCCACAGGTGTGGGACGCTACAGCTGCGGATCCCCGGCTTCTCGTTTTTTTGAAGGCTTATCGCAACACCGTGCCTGTACCGAGGCATTGGTGTCAAAAGCGGAAATTTCTACAGGTTTGTAGTGTTGTTTCGACATTCTTCTTGTTTCTTTTCCCTACTGGTCATGCTTGCATCGTTCGCGATTGTTTGTATGAACGGCTTGCATCTTAAATTGCAGTGCCTGGTGCTTGCAGGATGCCGGAGGACGGGCCATCCAAAAGGGAGGCAGTGATTTACAGGGTACGAATTTCTAGAAGCTGCATTTTTCGTGTTGCATTGTATGAGATGGTCTGCATTTCTTCTAAATCATACAGTAGCTACGTGTTTTTTCTCGGCTCTGAAATGATGCATGTCATTGCAGGGAAAGCGTGGTGTCGAAAAGTTGCCATTTCATTTACCGGAGTTCATAGCTTCGACGGGAATTCAAAAAATCAGACAGGTGCCAGGATATGTCTCTAGCGACTCGACTAATCCTTTTTCTCTGTTTTTCTCAGGCCTACATTGACAAGGAAAATACAAAAAAGTCGAAACAAGTTCAAAGATCTCGCATGCAACCAAAAGTGGGAAAAATGAGCATCGATTATCAGGTAATCATGCTGACACCCTGGTGCTTGACTTAACTTGTTTCTTCTTGTCTCGCAGATCCTGCATGACGCATTTTTCAAGTACCAAACTAAACCCAAGCTGACATCCCTCGGGGATTTGTATCACGAAGGAAAAGAATTCGAGGTGAGAGTGCTTTAGGTACAGGTAGTCGTCCTGAAAATGGTTTCGCAGATAAAACTAAGAAACATGAGACCCGGGTATCTCTCTCGTGAGTTGCGGAGTGCACTTGGCATGGACGACGGTGCTCCACCTCCATGGCTTTTCAACATGCAGGTACGTAGTCACTACACTACATTCTATAGACTAAGGAAAGCGGACTGATTGCAGAGATACGGGCCACCGCCTTCTTATCCTCAGCTGAGGATTCCTGGATTGAACGCACCTATTCCCGTCGGTGCGTCCTTCGGTTATCATCCTGGAGGCTGGGGTAGGGCTCCTGTCGACGAGGTAAGCCAGCCAATGCTCCAAGTACGCCGAAGTATGGAAGTTTTTGTAGTATGGAAGGCCTCTATATGGAGATTTATTCGGTGCACAACGGCAGGAACTAGTGCATTACGAGGTGAGGGTTGTCCTTATTCCGTTAAAAGGCCGTGTAAATGGCTGTTGATTTCTACTTAAATGTAGGAGGAGCCTGTCGATCGCTTTAATCACTGGGGTGAGTTGGAAGATGAGGACGAAGAAGAAGAAGAGGGACCGGAAGAAGAGCAACGGGAAGAGGTGGAGGCCGCTCCTGTTGAAGAAGCAAGCGTTGCATCTTTGGAGTACATTCTATTTACTTTACGAATCCTAGGTTCGTTTTCTAATCCTTGTAATGTCTCCAGGACTCCAGCCGGTGATGAAACTCCCAACGCGATCAACCTTCGAAAGTCAAAACGTAGTGAACCAGATATCAGGCTATATCAGGTTGTCATCGACCGTCCTATCTATGTATGCTTACTCTTTTGTCCTTTTACAGGTTTTAGAGGAAAAGAAAGAAAGTGCTCGAGCAGGAATCCTTCTGGGAAATACCCATACGTACGTTGTTCGATAAAAGTTTGGATTTCATTTTCATCCATGATGCTGTCTGTGTAGGTATGCCCTGCCTTCGGTGGAAAAGCCTGGTGTCAAGAAGGTATCCTGGCAGTAAACTTTGTTTGAATTTTCTTACGGTTCTTCTTTTAGGTGGATTTGCTGAAGAGTCAAAGAACCGGCAACGTGGACATCACTCTACTGCCCGAGGAACTCGAAAAACTGGATGAAACTGCCCTGGCTGCAAGGTTTGCGAACATTTTTCTAGTTCATTCTCTTCATTCACTTTTTGTTTTGATTTCTTTACAGGTTTGAGGAGGCCAGAAAAGAGAAGCAGCAGGAAACCGTAACGGAAGACTTCAGCGACATGGTTGCGTCGGTAAGTGAAAGGAAGTTCCATGTTTATTGCAAATTGTCTAAGCTTGTCCCATTCAGGCCGAAAAGAAACGAAAGCGCAAAGCCGAGAAAGATTCTCGCGCAAAGAAAGTCGACTTCAAGTTTTGATGGAAAGAAAGCTCGCTCATTTTCTTGGCAGCTGCATTGAAAGTCTATGAGATTAATTCACGGTTTAGCTGGAAATGGAAGCTCCGATCGCCAGGCGTTGTTTGGAAGCGCAAGATCTCCCCCAGGGTGGTTGACTGCTGGAATCTCGGATGCTGACGACGACGATCTTGAGCTCAAGGCAAGCTGCATTTCCAGTGATTCTATTCTTCATTGCAAGCGATCATTCGTGGATCCTAGCATTGATCCGATCGATAGTGATACCACGTCCGAGGTAACGAGACAGCCTGGCTCGTCTCTTTCTTCTCCTCTCATCGATAAGGATGCATCCTTGAGCAAGATTTCTGTGCAAGAGCTTCAAGAGTTTAGCAGCGACGATGGGGATCTTCCGGCAGAAGCCTCGTCAAAGTTTAAGTCAGTGGCTCTTCCATGTCGCTCTTAACATCTGACGGGCTTTCTTTTCTTTGTTTCGTAAAGGTTTGAAGTGCTCTTGGCACAACTAAGAGAATCACCTGAGCACAGACATGAAACTAGCTGGTATGTCTTGTTTTCTTTTGTTTGCTTCGACAGGATCCTTGTTTTAGATGCTTTACGAGTGCTCGAGAAACGTCGTCTGGGGCACATCTCACATCCACAAAGTGCGAGACTTTCCAAGTCGTCACCGCTAGTATCGACAGCATTTCTCCCGATGTACAGGTCAGATGTGTTCTATGCATTGATCCTCCGTGGCGAGCAAGATTTCTGGCTGTCTCTAATTCTGTGTGTTTTTACTGCCTCGGCACGAAGTAGCGAGTGTAAAAGGACATGGAAGAGTACGTCTTTCCTCCCTTTGAGCTTCTCTTGGCTCAAAAGATTGAGAGTACAGTTGAATCTAAACTATCTATTGTTTTCTAGCTGGTACCACGGCAAATTGCATATATGCAAAACTTGTCAAAGTCTTTAGGTAACACGAGTTGACGACAAAAGCAAGTTCTGCCACGTGGGTCAACTATTGAAACTCTCTTCGAGCCTACACAATGATATTGAAACGGTAAACGGGTCACCCTCAAGTACCCAAAGGCTCTAAGGCACATCACTTGAAGAGGAAATTCCAAACAAACCATGCATCCTTGGAATAGTCAAAACAGGCAGCTTCTTCCTGCGTCAGGACAGAGCTTTTAAGCACCCCAAGCCTTGAGCTCAACTCTCAGACTACAACAATGGCTTTGCTTTCCCTGACTCGAGTGAATGACTGGTGCAAGGCTCAAGAAATTGGGGTCTCTCTGGATGTGGTAGCAGCTGCATAACCACAGTTGGAGCTTCTTTCTGTGGTACATGCCAATTTCAAGCTGTTTGAGAGGCCTGTTTTGGACCAGGCAACTAAGAGGTAAAACATTTTACTTGTTTGATCTGGTTTGCTGATTCCTTCTTGGATTCTAGATACCATTACTGCTGCCTTCCGCTGCTAGCAAGTTCTTCTGGGACCTTTGTACCGCCACTCGACGACAGTTGGATATGGCCATCGCTTGAATCCTGGCTATTCATTATCTGTTTATTTCAATTTACTAAAGTGACCTGTCTGATTCAATAAGAGATTGTTCGGTAAGATTTGTGGATGGACCTTCTTTGGTGAGGGACTAAAGCAAGCTTCAACAAAGTCTCAATACCTAGGCTTCACAGATGAACCATACACTCTTGACATATACGGTGGAGACTTGACAAGAAGATATTATGATAGACCAACCAGAAGCAGCTCTCAGGCAGAAAAGTTTCTACTATTAGGCAAGTGATGCTCTTTTCTTGAAAGAAAACTAACTTTAAATATGCAGGTTTCTGAGCTGTATTACCTGGACCAGAGTTTCTTGCTAGCAACAGCCGATCATTACAAAGCATTTCTCCATCTCATACACAGGGCTAGCATATCAACGTTTTTTGTTCCCACTTACGACTTTGATTTAATATGGCATACTCATGAGCTTCACCCTGTTGGATTCACAAAGATAAGATTTACCTTCATATACAAGGATATAGAATATTCCTTGCACTCTCTCAAGCCAGAATCTAAGCCGTGACATAAGGAGAAGGCGGTGATGAGCTAATGCCACAATCATTCTAGCCCATACCCATGCCATCATTACCTTCAGCCTTTCATGTTTGTCATTGAAGATCTTGCTACACTTGGCTTCCCACATGTAATTCCTCTCAACAGGTTTAATAGCTCCAAGGTTACTGTTGCTGTGTCTGTTTATGTTGAGTTGGTCAAACCATGCTACCCTTTCTTGTGTTGAGGACCACTTCCAAGATTCTATTCTGTTTTGCATTTTAATAGTTGTTTCATCCCATACTGCCACTTCATATGTTAGGCACACTTGTCTTTAGGAGTGTTATTGTAGCAACTTGCATGTGCTTCTCCATATATCTTGCATGCTCTCACATTCAAAGTATGTGCCTTTGTGTCTCCCTTGCCCCACATTTATCACATGATTGATCTGGGAGATCTATATTTCATTTGGATGGAAGGCACTCTTGTATGATTAACCACATGAAATATCTCATCTTCCAGCTCAACATCCTTTCCACAAACCTTTTAATATGGCCATTATCATCAATGAATCACTGTTTGACCTAATATGTCTTCTTCCCAACTTTGTTTCATAACAAAAGAATTCCTCCTTCTTTTACCCTTGCCAATTCCATTTTGTTGGATCCCATGTTAGTTCCTGAATTTTCTGCTCTCTAAACCAATATAGCCTGGCTATAAATCCTTCCATTACTATTGGATCCATCATTGCCATTTTCTTATCCATCCTTATTACCCAAATTGGTTCCACCATCTACATTTCTAGTCTTATGCTTTCTACGAAAATTTTGAATGGTAGCAACCCTACTAGGCCAATATCAAAAATTACACATTTAGACTGATCTTGAATAGCCATATAAATAACCTTTCCATTCATTGTTCACCATATCAATATCGTTTCTCTAACATCCCCTATGCTTTCTTTGCAATACTTTCAGGCACCATCAAATGCCATCTCAAACTTTTTTAATTGATGTGCCAATGTTTCTAGTCTATAGAAAGCTTTTAACATGTCCTTGTTTCTATTTGTTTCCCCCACTTTTAAGATTGAATCTTCTTTTGCAAAAGTGACATCCCAACCTTGTGTGCACACCTTGTCTATTTCTCTATCTCCTATGTCTCCTAAGCATCTCTCTTTATATTTGTAATAGGTTGTTGAGAAATATTGGTTGTCAGTCTAGCTCATAGCAATTTGCAGGTTTTCTCTGTGCCAACTTTCCTTTGAACTGTTTCCACGACTTCTCAGAAAAACTATTTGGTCTTGTCATCTTCAAAGGGCAGTTCACAAAGAGCCACCTTTCATCCTTACCCCACTTCTACCTTGTGTGTTCTAATCTATCTGGGATAACCTTTAAAAGTTAATGGCGCAACAATAATTTCCATGGTAGATTTTTTAGCATATTCATGCGATGGAAAACTTTGAATAACAATGCCTTAATATTACTTTTTTATGTTAAATATGTTTATCCCTTCATCTTGCTTCACTCTTGTAACTAAACTTGGCATGTCCTCAGAAACCATTGCTGCCCCCTTCCATATATACATTTTGATTAGCTTGTTCAGGTCCTTCAAAGTCCTTTTTTTCTTTTTAAATTCCATGTATACTACCAAGAACCATATTGCCCTGAGCAAAATGTTATTTGCCACCACACATCTTGTTGAAAAGGACAGTTTTTGTGAGGCCTAGAATTTTAATTGATCTCAAAGTTTGTTTACTCCTTTTGTAATTTGTGGAAGGTCATATTTGCAACTAAGTTAAAACCCAAGTACCTTATAGGTTTGCCTTTTTTTTACCATTTGAAATCCCATTCAGTGGGTCAAAGTTTGGCAGCCATATAGCAACTAATTTCCTAGTTTATTTTAGAGCCCACTGCAAGATTGAAAAAGTCCAAACTTGTCCCGCTCCCCATGCCACTTCCGTAGCCACTTCCAGAACCTAAACCACGTCTAGTGCTGCTCCCAATTCCACTTCCAAAGCCACTTCCAGAACCCGAACCACATCCAGTGCCACTCCCAATTCCACTTTTGAAGCCACTTCTGGAACCTAAACCATTTCCAGTGTTTGTCCTGCTCCCAGTTCCACTTCCAAGAACTGTCCTCCTTAATCTTGTTCATGTTTTCCAAGGAGCCTTTTGCTATTATTCTAATGTCATCTGCAAAGGCATTAGACTTCAACTAATGTTCTAGCCATATCTTGCAAAGAGTCATGACACTCAAGTAACGCCATCCCTTCCAGCCCTTTTGGTCTTGCTAGATAGTGTGCTAATGCGTCGGCCACAAATAAAAACAAGAAAGGAGGCAATGGACATCCTTGTCTTATTGATTGTTCATATTGCCAATTATCCCATTTTTTGTGACTTTGCTTAATGCATTTTGGTAAAGAGTAGCTGTCCATTTTATGAATTTATCTGGAATACCAATTTTTCTCACCATATTTTGTAGAAACTCTCACTCCACTCTATCGTATGCTTTCTCATAATCCAGTAGAATTAGTGCCATCTGCAATACACAATCCTTAACCTGTTCTTGTGTTAGCAGTTTTGATGTTGTCTACCAACTATTTCCCTCCTACAACACCATTCTAAGTGTTATATATTGTCTCTGGTAGAATTAATCTTAATCTCTTTTAGCTAACGCTTTAGCTATGATTTTATAAAGCATATTAAGCATTGAAATCAGCCTCTAATTCTTGATCAAAGATCATCCCCCTCCCCCCCCCCTTTTTTGGGATGAGTGCAATAATTCTATGCTCTTGAATGTCATTTTCCCATGTGGATCACCTTATTCCTTGTGCTCAAGTTTTCTAACCTTATCCATTCCTAGTTTGTTTTATAAAATGCTAGTGGCATTCTATCTTCCCTAGGCATTTTGTCATCATTTAAATCCCTTATTGCTTCCTTTAGTTTATCAAGTGTGAACATTCTACATAGAACTTCAGTAGACAAGCTATCGACTTTTTGTGGAATAAACTAGACCACCTCATTTATCACCTTATTTTGGTTCTCAGTCCATGATTTTG